CAATGCCTAGTACAATAGGAGTACAAAGACTTGATACGTTAATATAAACACTATCAATAAACAGTATTTGTATCAATCATCTAACGTAAGCTAACTAGAGCTCACAATATTTTTTTAATCTTCCGTATTATTATGCCAATAGTTATTTAGACCGTCGATGGCGCAATGAGAATCTTTTGGTATGCACATAGGGTAAGCCGTAATGTAATACACTACGTACAGCTTTGCGAAAGTACACAGAGTTATAGGTTTATTTTATACTGATGCGAATGTTCACAGGTTGACTCCGATATATTACATCATACTTTGGTTCTATGCAACATTCTTGGAACATCTGGGAGAAGGTCCTGGCTGGGATACTCACATCAACTACAATGTGCAATTGTGCAGAAAGAACTGGATTTTGAACGCTTTTTATGTGAATAACTACATTAATACAAGGCGCATGGTATGTTTAATTCCTTTCAATCCACTTCAAATAATTTTCCGAAAATGTATTTTATATGCACATATTTGTTCCGTACATAAAGTTGGCAAATGCCATACATTATTTCATCCCTCCTACAAAAATTATATTTGTATTGAATGCTAACGAAAAATAAAATAAACCAAATTAACAACTAGTCAAAATAACTTAAATAACTTCATTGCATTGTATTATATTTAATTTTTAGAAAACGGTAATGATTGTGTCATTTCTAAAAAAATTGTTCATTCATCCCTTGCAGTGCGTTTACAGCCTTAATTACCAGTTAATGGAAGGGCAAAACACGTGTTGTTACAGTGTATGGTGCAGGTCGTGGTTTCTAGCAGCCGACATGCAGTTCTTCATGTTGGCCCCGTTTGGTGCTCATTCCCCTGTATCGCTGGCGTAGAGGGGGGTCCAAAGCCCTTTCTGCGTGCTGGTGCTGATAGCAACTTTCTGTGGGTGCAACCGCCGCCGCAGTCAATCGTGGCGGTGTCCCCGGGCGTCTTATCGCATGACAAACAGTAACTTCCCGCGTCTTGTTTTTTCTGCATGAAAAATCTCTACTAAAAATATTATGCCAGATGTCCGCTTTTTACTCGAAAGAAAAATTGTTTTTTTCCCCCCCCAAACAACTCCCCCCAACTCATTTCTTTGTCATAGTAGGATGCTATGTTTTCGACGAAAATAATTTATATTTACATGAAATTTTTTTTTTTATTCATGATTTATTCTCACGGCAGATTAGACCCTATGTTGTCATGTTTTTCCACTGGTAAAGAGAAGCATAGTGCAAATCTGTTTCTTTGAAGAGTGAAGATTATGGCACTTCATTACTTGCCCTTTGTGTGTTTAGTAGTCCAGGGAGCAGATCTGTCGCCACAAAGCTATTCTCCAGGAAACTAAGTTTACTTTCAGCAAGAAAAGCCTATTAAATATATTGCGACCAGGCATCCTTGGAGATGCATCTTTTTCCATTGCCAGTATAATGCACGTTCAGGATGAGGACTATTCCCCTGCCCGCATTATGGATTTTCTTCTCAAAGCATTTTTTAAAGAAAGAATATTATGAATTAAGAAATTATACGAGAAAATATTCATTTAAAGAAACACTTTTAGTGACAGGCATTAATTGTAATATTAACGTGTGCCTGTTAGATACAAATATCGATTTCATTAAAATAAAATGAAAACCCTTTATCTTCTGATTTTTCAACCGAGTGTCGTCTTAACTTTTCGCGCTGCGTACGAACAGTCATATTTCCGAAATCTTTCGCTTTCGTCGCAAAACTAATCTTCGCTCCGATTTTGTTCTTCGTTTGTTTTGAGATCTTCTGTTAGAATGAGAATACTTACTGCCGTATACCTCAAACTGCTTTATTATCATTTAGAGTAAGAATATGAATATAAAATCACATACATACACATACTGGCGGAGCTAGATCCATGTGGCAACAATCTGTTTTTCTCGCACAGTGTAACTCTGTGTAACAACACCGATGGAGATATACGCTTAGTCACTTCTTTTTAATGTAAAATGCGTAAAACGATGGTGACGCTGCTAATACCAGAAATATAAGGGTTCGTAGGCTTCCGCGGCCGGAGTCAATGTATTCTTGGCTATTCGGGATGTGCCGCATCTCAGTTTATTGGACTAACGTATCGGCCATCTTGCTGTGGCCTCCTTCAGAGCTATACTGCTGAACAATTTGCGTGTACTTTACATGCAGCCACTGGGACATTTTCAAAATTTTCTCAAATACTGCCAAAAATTTTCTTTTATTTTTTATATATAAGATAAAATACACCTGTAAAGGTGGCAAAGGTTTGATTTTAACTTTTGACTGATTGTCCATAATTAGTTCTTTTTTAAAGTAATGTGCGATTTTGTGAAAAATTTAGTAGTGTTTGCGCAGATTCCTTGGAATGTTTTCAATGTTAAAAAATAAAAAACAAGTTTTCTCAAAAACGGCTCCAAATTTGTTCTTTAAACTTTCAGCGGCATTATTAAAAAACAGAAAAATTAAGAAAAAATCCAAAAATGTACTTAATCTTCATAGACTGGCGAAGTACGTCCTTCTTTAACTTACAAATATCATCCAAATCACTCCCTGCGACATCTTCATCGCTCGAAACTGCATCGGCAGCAGGTTGCAAAAGAAACGCAAGCTCATTTGACTAATCTATATTGTTAGCCTACACTTCACCTTCATCGAAATCATTTAATATGTTAATTATGGCTTCAACATCAGTTGCTATGTTTCCTGTGCAAAAGTGACCAAAAATTCCTTCATTGGTCATGGTATGAAATTTCATACCTTGAAAATAAAACACATTTAAAGCTACTGAAGCTAATAACGGGTTTTACAATACAACTGTTTGAATTAGTTATAATAGCAAAGTTTTCAACAATAATTACTACTTAACTTTAAATACAACCAAGACTATTTTTGTGAAAAAAGTCTTACCGGAGCGTTATCGTGCTGTTAGCAAAAATCACCACGTCCTTGTTTAACCTCTAGAATACAAAATGCAAAGACGTTATACTTGAGTGGTACATATTGCAAATCCTCTACTAACGAAAAAGTGAGTACATTCAGAATCTCTTATTTTGCTTCTATATTTGTATCAGAACGCGATCGGTATGAAATTTCGTACCAAGGCCACTTTTGGGTTAAAATTCCGTAACTTAGTCATTCCAACGTGAAAATATTGTTTCTAATTAAACATACACTACATCTTACAAAAGAAGAGCTTTATAGAAGAAACATGACACGAACGAATTTCATACTGGAATAAGAATCGTATTTCTTTGGCCTCCACTTCACCAGCACGACGAGGCGGGGTGCAGTTCGTTCTGTTATCGCAGGTCATGTCACGGTTGTCGTAGCCGAGACATGCCGCATCCTGGACTTTGAGGCGCATGAAAAGGCGGTCTACTTCACTTCAACGGCCGGCGTAGCCGGTGACGGACTCACATGGCGTCTTCATGGGTTGCATTTGCACTAGAGTACCACGCGCGTGCCAATGAAAATTACACTTACGTTTCTATCCAATTACCTACCAATATACTTGTACATGATAAGGAAAATAAATTAAAAATATAATTCTTATATAAATAAGTGGTGAAATGGCACTTCTCCTACTTCACTACTCTGAATAGTCGCTCCTGGTTGGTGGAATGGTTAGAGGAAGACACGCATTCACGTAATGCAAGATCTGGATGTCCACCACGCACCGCGAGGAGGGAGGACCGACAGACTGTACGCCACACGTGAACGACAGATGCCATTCAGCGGGCCGGTCTTCTAAGCCACATCATGTACATACCCGTTCCAATAATTGTGGTAATGTTGATGACGCGCTGTTGACATTATTAAGGAATGAAATAATTGAGGTCGTCTTTGTCAACTCAGTTTTATTCAGAACGCCGGCTTTCGACGGCTTTGCCGTCATCATCACTGTTGCTCGACTTTCATCTCATATAGGAAGCCTGTTGATGATGGCAAATCGAAAGCCAGCTCTCTGAATAAAATTGAGCTGAGAAAGACGACTTCAATTATTTCGTTTATCAGCACCAATCGCAGGCAGATGCATTCCGCAAGTCTGGTCGCACGCCCGTCGTTGCGACATCCAGCAGCGGTCGTACAGACTCCGCTGGGGTCGGATGTCAGAGAAGTGTTCTGGTAAACTGGCAGAGGATCACCTGCAGTGGCAAGACTCGTCTTCGTGGCGACAACCATCGGTTCAGTATCTGAAGCCGCAATGAGGGGCTCCCATGAAGACTAGTTCGCGGTAGTCCATCAATCATTCCACAAACATGTTGAGATGATCCTAAGGTTCACAATAAGAATTTCTCACGGGCAGCATGATAGCCGCAAGTTTATGTAGTGATACAACCGTTGACTCTACCGTTCAAGGAAACCCACGCCCACGACCTTTTTCCACAAGTCAACGCTCGTTCTCATAACGGAGCTACCCTAGAGCGTGCCTAGGAGCTGGCCTAGGAGCTGTGGATGGATTGCAAGTGACATCGCCAAATCTATCCCACTCCGAATATATTCGGTGTGCTATGGAGAGTGTTTTCAGGACTCCACCCCAACGGACCAATCTGCAAGAAATGTGCGCCCAGATTCAAGGCTGTACTAACAGGACTCTATGAGATAAATGTACAATTCCATGTTGTGACGTCTCGGTATTTGTATTTGTCAAAGTGGCGGCCCGACGCCATATTAACATACTCCTTATTTTATGGTATACCGGAATAAATGTTTGTCCTAGAAAAGTAAAAAATATAATTATTTCGTATGTGTAACAGAATCTATGATACCACTAGTCTTTTTTGTCTTTGGCTCCTACTATTTACTTTTTATTTAATATGTATCTTTGTAGTTAATTGTGTTGGCTCAAAGTAGGTCATCGATTTATTAGTCACGTCGTTTCATCCCATTTCAAATACACACAATTATATGACATATCTGCCTATAATTGTACGGCATGTCCACTGGGTAACACGTGTCTTCTATTCCGCTAATTAAAAGGCAAAAACAACAACAAAAAGCAGATTTGTGGCAATTGGCAGAACGTTTGCAACAAATAGAATGGAATAATATCTATAAGAAAAAGTATATTAATGTGCAAAATACATATGTGACGCACAGAATCTAATAATACTTTTAAAATCGAGGCGATCGATAACACATTTCTCATGACGCTGTCGTAACCCAAGATCTTTCCACGATGAATACGTTATTTGTACGTTCCACATTGATTTCTGCTGTTATTTCACGCAGTGTTGCTTGTCTGTACTGCTAAGCAGCTGCTCTTGGCCATTAAGTGAAGGCCATTGGCCACAGCGTTGTCCATAGTGAGAGTTATGCCTGAAATTAGATATTCTCAGCACACTCTTGACACTGTGGGACTCGGAATATTTAATTTCCTAACAATTTCCAAAATGGAGTGTCCCACGCCAGCACCAACTACTATTCCACATTATTCTTAATTAGTCTTAATTCCTGCGACCGTAATTGTGACCATAATCTCATCAAAAACATTTTCACATGACTATCTTGGGTACAAATGAAAGCTTTGCCAAAGCACTGCCCTTTTATACCTTTTGTAATCATACGACTGCCATTTTTACACTTGCATATTGTTATACCATGATTTTTGTCACCTCAGTGTAGAATATATAATGTACCTTAATATATTTATTGTATATGGTTTCAGAGATGAAGAAATATTACAATATTTCCAAAATAATCACGTGAAAACACACATGCATACCTCATCTTACTTGGTTGGCTTGTATCTCGGATATATACTTCATCGTATTAGAGGAAAGAAGATGTATATGAGTAAGGTAAGAAAGATTTAGTAATTTGCAATGGATCAAACGGAATCGAAAATATTAGTGTTAAGGAATGTTGGTCTATTTATTCTCTACAACAACCTTATGAAATGCAAAAGTTAGAATATCCTTGGTTTTGTTACAGTTTAACAATTTACTTCAATTCTTTGAAATACATTTAAAAACTGCATAGAGAAATAGAAAAACTCTTTCTCGAAAGTATGTCTTTTACATTCAGTATCTGAGATAAATTTGAAAGATAACTATTGAATATTGAGGAAGAAGCAAAGGGCAGTTTAGGGAAAAATTAAGGTTTTTTACATATTAAACATAAATTTATTGAGCGAGACATTCGGTTGTACAAATTGTGTTTTGCACAATGCACGTAAATAAAATAAAATTGTCCGTGATTTCAAATTAATTGCGTTTTTGTAATGTCACCAGCTCGTCGATCGATGTAAATAAAATCGGAAGTGTTTGATTTATTTTTTTCTATAAACCCATTTTCTTATTTAGATAAGATGAACACTCTTATTTGTTTTTATGAATTTTGTCTGGGCATTTGCCCGGCGTAATCTCTGCAAAATCTGTACCGATTTTGATGCAGTTTTCACTGAAGTGAAGAGTTTTGTCGGGCATAACTTGGACTACTTATTTCATATCGTCCAAATATAGTTTTATTCGTAATCCTCGACAAAATAGCATAAGTGTAAACCTGAAAGCAATAGGAAAGTTACATTGACATAAATGTCTGCATTACATGAATACAATATACATTATAGTAATTATCATGAACTCACATTAAATTTAGACATGTAATTACGCATCTAATAAAATAGGATGCAATAGTCAAAACTTTATGGTCGTAACTGGAATGAATGATCTCGAAGGACATTAGATAGTAGTAATATAATAGAGTAAAGTAGATACATTAATCTACTTTAGATTTAATGTCATTTCACACAGTGTACTATCTGATGAGATTTTATAAAAAATACCCATATCCTCATTCCCTACACCAATGAGCAAAATGTAAGTGTGGACTATTTTTTTTCGCTTCAAATCATATTTAAGAACAATGAGTAAATTAGCCAAAGCGAATTAAAAAGTGGTTTAAGTTCTAAAAATTCACTATTGACAAAGCAATTTGATCAAGACGAGAAAAATTGCTCATACTCACAAAATTTGTATTGACGTTTGTCAGTTTTGGTAAAAATCTAAGCGGCACACGGAGAAAGAACGCCGAAAAACACTGCGATAATAATTTCACTACCGAAGACGGTCATGATGATGGTCATGAGGCGCACAGTTATTTAAAAATCCCCATGTCCATCCGTTAGGTTCAGTTCGGTCGTATCTGGAGAGAATTCTAGCGGCCGTAGTTCTTTCGGAAGTTTCCGTAAAGTTCTCCGTCAATACAAAAAGCGGAGCCATGTCCTTTCAAACAAACCACGGACGCGGCATGATCTTCTTCCCTTCCCATTCCTTGTCCTATCCTTGATCCTCGCACTATACATGCCGCAACATGCGGGAGACCGGACGGACTTAGAGCTACATCCTGGCTGCAAGCGGATGCCCGCGGTGCGCAGATACGTTATTAGAGAAAACGCCGCTAGTCGACGTCGGTAAGATCAATTCAAAACTACTAGAGAAATCAAACACTGTTACTACATTATGGGATCTAAGGTCCGTTAACAGTTGACCGCTGATCCCTTAATCCAGATTGAATCAATCAATAATCTAAACAATTTCTCTTTTTCAACCTGTAGACCCTGGTGGCCCTCGGTGGTGGCCTGTGCGTCGATGTTAGCATCGCCAATTTTGGCCCACTTCATGTACACAAAGCTACAAGCACAACCTCGTCGAAAAACGCAGCCAACCCCGCTCTCTCCCGCTTGTTATGGGGGACTTGCAATACCTGGATTATCTTCGCCTGCCACACGGGCTACGGAGGTTTGCAATGCTTTGTTATTTTGTGAATGTTTGTTTGGTATTGAGAATGAGTTGTAGTTAAATTTGTTCCTATGGAACTGGTGCACAAGTTTGGTTAATGCATCTTCCGGTAAATTCTTATAATCCATGCATTTCTAAATGATTTAAACAATAACAATGCGCACTTTCAAAAATGATTATTATAAATGTTTCTTTAAGGATAAATGAAAATACTTTCAATATTTATTTGTTGTACCTAAAAACATTTAATTAAGCTGATATTCATAAAGAAATAAGTCTTATTCATCAGTGCTTCTAGATGTTAATAGTTAATACAGTTTCAGAGAAAAACGCCTATTACGGTTGGACTCATTAAAGAAAATTTTAGGCCCTCTCTTTCCTCGTCTCTCAAAGTGTTGGATTCATCGACACAATTATATTAACTTTAGTCGTTTTATTGAAACTATATCGCTTTTGTGATGACCTAATTGTCTATTCCTAGCAAATTTCTTGGGTCTCTAATGCAGTACATTTTTGTTGAGGATAAGCAGGATGTGTGTAGAATGTAACTCCACATTCTGCGAAATATTCATTGTTCTCCAAAATAATAAATAATACAAGCAATGAATAGAAACTCCGTTATAAAGACAAATTAAACAAGACGAGTGAGTGTCGCGTAAGAACATAGACTACCTCGCAGACAAACTAATGCTCTCGAGGCTCAGTGGCGAAGTCGCTTTCCTTTCACCACTGGGGTTCCGGGAACGATTCCTGTAGAATCCCTGTGAAATGAATCATTGGAAATTTGTTACGACAAAACGTGTTTCCATGCTTCACAGGGGCTAGTCCAACCGTTGTGAAGTGTGCTAAAACCTACCCCAATCTTAATTCCTTCCCAATTCAGGCCGTTGTGTAATGACGTAGGGGCGCGTAGGAGGAGGCGTGTTCGCCGAGATGCAATTTGACGGTCCTCTTAACAACCGACTATGATGAGACGTGACGGATATGACATATTGAAACATTAATGGATTACTCCCGCGCTGATATTAATGGCGGATAACTACGGAAGCGCAAATGCGCTCAACGCCCCCTGGACTTAAAGACGAAACAATTTTTTTTAAAAAACTGGTGAGAAGGCAACAGAATGAGGGTCACTGAAGGGAACAGATAACCTCACTGACAGGGAGGTGATCACTAAAGGCTCCACCATAGACATTATCAATATGATTTATTTTATTTGTATTTTCCAGGGCTACTTAACCGGTTCCTCAACTGTTACGCTTTTCGGGTGCTGAGTCGAATTTCTTACTCTACAAATATGGCACATTTCATTTTATTGCTGCACAACAGTGGTCGTAGAAGGGTGCCGGTTTGGTTCGATATTTTTGAATGGGTAAGTATGTGTAATCAACGAACCTAGACAATGATCTATAGTTTAGTTTATCAATAGTTGCTCAGTTATGAAGCGAAATTTTTAAATCAGTTGGAAAGAGAGCTTTCTATAGATAGTGTTAATTCATACAGAGTCGTCGGTCTTAAAAGACTACGGAGTTACTAAGGTCTAGACTACGAAGTTACTTTAATTAACCCCAAAGTCATGCTACATGACAAACTGGGAATTGTTCTGTTGACAAATTTATTACAAAAATATGTGTGAAGTATTGTTTATCCTAAACCTAGATTACTTTTAGATCCAGGTCTTCTTTGCGGATTATGGAATTGGAACGACGCTGGGTCTTATTGTCTTTCTGATATTTGAGTCGCCAATCTATTTGGTTTCGCGACTTTATCTTCTGAAAGGTAAGCTCTAAATAACTTCACAGATACTGAAAACTAAATTAAGGTACACTAATGCACATTGAATAAATAATGTAAAAAAATATCTACTTTTTCTTCAACCGTTCAATAGTATTGAGTAAATTATGATTTCAAGGACTTCTCTAGATCTTTCTACAGCTTTTTTTTGCGTACAAAGTCAGGAAAAACGTGTCAAACATTTTATCCACTGCGTAGACGTGCGCATAGGAGGGATGACAGATGGGCCATGACCTCATGAAAACTTTTAAAGGACTTCACACGTAATAAAAAGATGTATTTGCATTGAAACGGAACTCTAATTTCAATAATATTTTATTTTGGTAACAGTGCTGTGTTCATATATTCTCTGAATGTTAAAATATGTATATATAAATTTCCCTATTAAATTGAATCATGGGTTCGAATCACATTTCTCGTATATTGCATTTGAACGTGTAATTCCATACGAAATCACTATTCCTGGAAGTTCTGGGGATCAAAACTAACTATTGAATTGATGTCAACCACTGCAAATTATCAGACTTTGATTTATCTGGTTAACTTTATTCATATTTACATCATAAATGTACCGTACGGTTTTAAATAAAGTTCGTATGCTTACTGCTGATTACTCAGCTGTCGAATCCAGGGATGTCCACGGGATGTCTTAGTTGCTCCTGTTATAGAGTTTTGCCTCACGTCCGAATATATTATTAAATGTTCCCAGTATGTCCTCGACTACTTTATACTGTATATAATTCAATGATTTCTATCAAAATTACTTCGCGAACGCGACTGACCCTTGCTGGGCTTCGGGTGAAACCTCTACGCCCGACTGTCTCCTCCCGACTTGTATAAAAATCCCATCTAAGGAGCTATCCTGACATAAATCCCTCCGAAAAAACGGAGATTATATTACGTTCGTTTCAAATTACATTAACGGAAATCACAATTTAATTTAATTTTACTAACACCTTCGAACTCCACAATGTTAATCTATTAACACTAATCATTTACCCGCTTCAATACCATTTACCAATAACCCAGACTATACTGAAACAAACATTCGTACCCCACCAATTGCTTTGTTTTTTATGTTGGCAGCTTTTGAGAGAGAGAGAGACAGACAGAGTGAGAGAGACAGTCAGATGAGAAGAGACAGAGGAGAGAAACAAGACCAGGGACAGAGAGAGAACAGGCAGAGAGAGAGAGACCAGAGAGAGAGACAGACAGAAGAGAGAGACAGTGTGTGTGAGTGATTAATTTCTTCTTCCCACAGAATTACAGCTTTCAATGCCATCTCTCTCGCTTGTAATGTCTCTGGGGCCGTGCCTCCTCAAATGAACGGCGCTATGATACCAAACATGGAATACTAAACTTGTTGATTTATCGCCTTAACGTCTATTCTTTGGATTTAAATGTTCTGTATGTGTTTAATCCCATCGTAAATACATTTCATGTTGTTTTCCCCATTCAAATGAAATCTGGGGTTCCTGGATTATCACAGCATAAATATGCTAAATTCCAAAACATTAGTAGCTCTATAAACTGTAGAAATCACCTGAAAATAAGTAAATAAAATAAAGAAACTAGAGGTGTTATTATACCCACACGTTTTCTTGAGTCCTCAATCCGCTTGTTGGAGGAAGAGTGGGGGAACTGGTTACGACCGTGGCCACCAGAGTTTAATATTAAGTACCACCAATATCTGTATGGTATAGCTTAGATCGTACTTTTATATTATACATTCAATATTAGCACATTTTCTGCTATCCTTGAATAGATTTATAACTACTCTCACGCTGTATAAATTTATGTTTAGTATTTATTACTAGGCCGGTTTACACACTCCCATGCTCCGTCGTATTTGTATTTTCGTGATATTTCAATAAAAATCAAAGCTCGCAACAATACAAGTTAAATTAACACGTAATATACATAAAATACAATAACAACAACAATAATAATAATAATAATAATAATAATAATAATACGAACATTGAAATAACTTTTTATTTCAAATTTTCAGATGGGTGCGTTTTGTCCTCAAGTTACACCAACGATTAGAACTGTGTTTCGGAAACGATAATTCCAATAACTATGTACAAATCTGAATTCATTGCGTACTTTTTTGGAACGAACAAATTTTAAATCACACATTTACTTCCAATTATCTTGATTCCATCATTCTGTTTCCTGGGAATCTGAGTAACCATCTTCAAATTCCTCGCTCGAATCTGAAAGGGTATTTATAACTATGCCATCGATCGACATTTCAATTCCATCTTTGCTCCAATATTCTTCTTCCAGCTTCTGCTCGTGTAAGCATAACCTTACCAGTCAGCAGGAGTGTCTGAAGAGAAAGCTGAAAATGCTAACTCCAGTAAACGTCGAAGGAACCTTATCCCCTGCGATGTCTCGTTCTCTAAAAATCCTTTTGATTTTGACCCATGCTAATTCTATTGGGTTTAATTTGCAGTTATAGAACTGCAAATGAATGAATGTATGCCCTTTCCATGCTTCCAAAACATCTATAACAGAATTTCTGGATAGGTGCATGTTCTTTAATAATTTGATAGAGAACGCCCTTTCTTAATGTGTCATCACATAAAATACCCTTCATTTCCAGCCATAGAATCATGTGTGATTTCGTGTCATATCTGGGTGGTATTTTATCGCACTGCCTGCTGTGATATGGGGCGATGTCGAACACGATAACTGAAGCAGGAGGGAGATATTAAACTTATGATCGGAACTGCATCTCAAATTTCTCTGAAATCATTTGTCCGTGATAGTCTCTAGTGGTCTATTTTACCTCAAATATGAGTTGGTCTTCCGGAATTAAAATTTTTTGACCCAATGTTGGCAATCACTACTTTTTTAATGCTCCACCCAGTACTATCAGTCACATCGCTTTTTTGCCAGTATTTGCCGTTAAATTGGTGTCGATCCACAACTCATTCAAATAAAATACCTCTGTTTTCTTCCCTCGAGTGCTTCATTTTCATAATATATCGCGCTTTCGTCCACAATGTCTGCTCTCTCTAGGAGAAGCGTTCTTTTATTTTGGACTATCTTTCAAAAAAGCCCATTTTTTGCAAAACTTTGCGGAGAGATGTTGCACACCAATTCCAGCTGATCTTATACCCCATGTTACGGTCACGAATTATGATGAAATATAAGGAGATTACAGAGCTGAAGAAAACGCGTTTAAATTTCACGTATAAGTTACCTCTTTTTGTCAGGTGTTTCTGGAGTATCATTAGGGTTTCTTGGTTTTAAGCTTTTTTTCTCTTTATAGTGCATTTACCAACCCCTGTATAAGCAGACGCCCGTTTCAATGATTGGGGAATGTTCTGAAGTGATTAATGTGTCTCTTCTTCAATTTCGCACATCTCCGCAACTCTGGCTATTATTTTTCTCCCTCCTCTATGAAATGTCCTACGCACATGTTTGGGACAAGTTCGAGGTAGCTCCTGTGAGGGACCTTGTCCCAACTCAGCCATTTTCACTATTAAATAATATTTTAATTCTAAACACCACGAACTGAAACAATCCACTGTCTAATGCGGTCTGAAGCGCACTGCAAATGGTTCTAATTTTCCTGCACCTTGTATTTGTAATGTTGCCAACAATGGCCGCTGCGATTCACGCTATTTGACTATTTCTTGTAGCAGAAAGGGGTAAGTAGGCCTAGGGCTCAAGAAAAAGTGCAGATATGATACATCATATGCTTTCTCTAATTATTTGCAACTTTTGCAGTTTTTGAAACTACAGGGAGTTTAACAAAAAAGAGCCCTGCACCATTTTGAAGTGGCATTTGCTCAATTCGAGGAAACATTTGTAGCCGTTTTTAGGGGTAAATAGAAATTGCATTGACTTTAAGCAAACATTTCGCGAAAACTATTGGTATTTAAAAAATTGTGCATGGCCTCATTTATAGACCATATTTAATAAAGGAAAATTACATTTATCATCAATTTACTCACAGGGAGAGGCGGCTCAGGGCACTGCAGTGTCTCTGATCGAAAGGTCCTAGGTTCGAATCCCGACGGTGGCAGACATTTCGGCATTAGATAGCTAGGCCGAACCCAGTCGCTGTCTGGAGGACAATTTTAGCGGCCAGCCATATTGATCGGTAGTTTTCTGTCGTTTCTCCGATAAACACCAGGCGAATGCGGGAGCAGTACCCTGACAAACGGGCCACGGACCGCGCACGACCTTTCCTTCCACCTCCTATCCTCACTCCTTACTTACAGAAACTTACATTTACTTGCTCTACACTATCTCACTTGACGGGAGACCAGTTGAGAGCTTGTCTCGGCTGGTGCGGTGCCCCCTGATGGGAGAAGCATGGTAAGGGAAAATGCCCACAAATACCCACTCGGCGCCAGTTCTCGCCAGTCAGTGATGAAGGATCATCGCTTTCCGCGATAAAACATGCACTACATTTACGGTTGCAATGTGCTTAGCAGTTATTGGGCCCGGTATCACTAATCAATCAATTTACTTACGAACTATTTTTTTCGATGTGCGTCAATACAGAGTGTTTAGAAAATGGGGTATGCATCATTTTATTAGGTGTACTTCAAAAAATCTAACACGTCGTTTGTCCAAGACTGCATAACAAACGAATTTATTCAAGTAAAATTTTTCTAAACTTGAGGAGTTAGAAGAGATAGCACGGTTATCCAAGCTGAAGTTTCCATTTTTGAAATTGAAAAGGGACGTCAGACGAACTACCAACCGGTATTGTTCGGTAGATAACAGAACCTAACGTCTCGCCGTCGTAAACGATGTATAGTTTGTAGGTAAAACTTAGTGCGACAATACGAAACCGACGAACATATCTTTAATGATTAATGATTTGATGCATTTCGTGTAGTTAAGATAAGGATTATAACACTATTATGTTAATTCTTTGTCAAAAAAAGTTGTAAAATGTTTGTCACGTACGGGGGAAAAGTATAATCTGCATTTGCCGTATTTCTACTCAAAGAAAAATTACTTTTATTTGAATTTTTCCAATAAAATGGCGAAAACGTTAACATAACAGTGAGTTATTGTTATAATGAATTTTGTATTATTAATCAAGTGTTTATCACAATATGGTTTGTTGTGTTTTACTTTTGTTTGCCTATTAAAACAAACGAATTGAAGGGTGGTTGAAAAAAATTAGAATGTTCGAATCAATTGTTTATTCTTAAATTGTTCATTCCATTATAATGTGCAATTACAAATGATCCTAAAAATAAAAATTGATGAGGTTCAGCGTCTTTCAGAGCTCGTTGGTTAATCACACCTAATTATTATTTAGCTTGCTCGCCGGTAATAATAAGAAAGTTCATATTTTGATTGTGTTTTTGTCACAGTATCGATTGTAATAGATGTGCAGGGAGACTAAACTATTTTCGTGATTTCGACTGTTTTAAAATACCTTTTTCTTTTCAGGTTTTTCGAAGAAGACCATGCCTCCTTCTGTGCATATTATCAATAAAAGCAAGTGAGATTGATTGAAATGGAAACATCAAACAATAAACAATACAATTCTGTTTTCCCTAGCCTTCATTATCTTTACTACCATCTTTTTTATAATGAAATCGAGAGGATTTCAAAATCAACGAAGTGTCGACATTTGATTGGATAATTTGTGAAACTGCAACTTTCATAAAAAAAATAAAGCGCAATAAATAGTATAGTATAATCATTCTACATTCATCATTGACTTAAATCCCTCCTGTTACGAATGGACTCATTACTTAATTATAAAAAACATTATCATTAATATCTTTATTTACGAGGTTCAGTACATAGGACCTACTCATTCAAATAAGAAAATGAATACAATAGAATGGGTGAGTAAAAGATACACTACGGTAAATTGAAACTAGCGCTAAATCCAGTATCGTAACGAAATGAGTGCCGGCCCGCTTGCAAAACTTTTATCCGGGTCCCCTTTATAAACGTGTATAGAAAAATGATATAGTCTAGTATCTTAATAGAAATATATTTTAGCAAATTCATCAGTCTATAATTAACGATCAATAGTGTCAAATATGTCTATTATTTAATTTTATGAAATTAAGACAATTATAGAATATAAACGAATTGCTTACCTTTAATTACCTCCCAATTTTTGAAGAGATTGAAACTTAACAAACTTATTTGTGTTCACTTCTACTTCTGAAATTGCTCTATTAATGGTTTTATGAGCAAATCTAGCGTTGCATGCAAATCTAACATTAAAAGGCGACTATTTTGTATGTTTATGTGAATATGGCGTTAGTTAAGTTGGTATACCCGGAGTTTAGGGTGTCACCGGTTCATTTGGTTCACTGATCCTGTTCAGTAGAGGGGAATCGACTCACTGAACTGAATCCTTGTTTACTATTCGCGTGTTGTAATGTTCACCATGTTATCGCAAGAATTATAATTTCTATTTAACACTCACATGCAACTTGAACTATCATTACTACTCAAAGCCAATATTTTATTACTAAAAAGACAAGTAATCTACTTAATACATTTTATACCCTCTAGAAAGCACAGTAAAAAAGTTTTAAAAAAATATATGTAGAATTTATATCTTATCTACTTAAACTTTTATTATTGGGTAGCTATCGCCCCCAACCCCCCCATTTTAATAATATAAAATCAACCCGTCTATTTTTTCAAACAAATACTATATGTCAAAGATAGCTGTATTTTATTAGAAAAAAGATAAAAAATCAACTCACGTAATCGCTGAAATTATAGAATTTTTATAGTATTAAAAATACTATGGTAGTAAAATTAGTGTAACTTCGCTGCACTAATTACGAAGAACATCCTTATAATCCGAAAAACTTCAATGATTCAACAACGTATCACCAAATCTGCTTATATCTGAAAAAATACACACTATACTTTTTATGAACTAAAGTTCAGTAAATTAATGTCTCCTCTCAAACAAATTATCCTTTCGCACTGACATTTTCACGCAATGACCATTCTCACCTCTGACTGTACTCATATCCATCTGTTCTATCCTTTCTCTCAGTAAATGTCATATCTTTCTTGCATACATTACATACACGTCGAGACGCAAGCAAACCCACTTTCTGACACCACTGAATCACATTCAAACTTCCCTGTCTGCGCAAATCATAAATAAATCCTGAATTCATACCTTCCATCTCGGTAGACACACAAAACTATTAAAAGATAACTTGAAATGCCAAAAAACACGCAAATCCATTCCCACGAAGTCTTAACAACTTTACAATTCATCAATTTATAAAGTAAATAATTTTGTCGTCATAGTAACAACTAAATGTGGTATTAGGAGGCTGTTTAATTAGTAAATCAAGCCCATATTTGTAATCGATTTAAACCATCAAGCTAAAATCTATGGCATCCTAAACTCCGGATTCAAACATACGTTGTGGGCATAGAGTACAGATATCTCTCCTCTTTGGTTGTGGGTCATATTCATTTGAGAATCTGTATTTGCACACTTATGTAAAAACGTAAAAGTGAGAAGTCAAACATAACGCTTATTCATTCTCTAGCATTACTCACAGTTTTGTTTTCTCCGTATTCACTTGAAATTCTGGAAGTTTAATAAGTTCCGCGGCAATATTGTCCGTAGGCTTTCGCAAATTAATGGTTTTAATACTACGTTAATTCGTATCTAAATTCAAATCAATCTGCAGCGCGATTTGCTTTGTAATTCAATTATGCAGTGAAAGATGTTACATTAGTGTTGCCAACATCGTGAAAGAAAATTATGGTGAATTTTGCTAAAACTTTGGTACGGGTGCCCCAAATCAATTCCACAAACATAGATCGATTTAGGAGGCGTTGTTTTAATTCCTGGCATTATCACTAAGATGGCAGCGCCAAAACACGTTTTTGGAAATTCATTCGAGTCTTCTGATCGGATCTGAAAAAAAGTATCAGTTCCCCATCGGGGACCGAGACGCGTCGAGTGACCTAATTCGTCAAATATAAGAGACAAAGCAAATCATAGTGATCTCTTTGCCGTTCGGTTGATTAATTGACGTTTACGGGTGCGTCAGCTGTTATGGTCACTGGTTCCGTTACTGTAGTTAATGTTTTATCGCTGAAGGTAGTGGTGTTCCTCCGCCGCTGAATGTTAAGATCCCACGTCTCGATTGGTGCACTGGAAGTATTATTATTATAGTATATAGTATTATAGTATGGCTGCCAGAGACGAAATCTCACACGTCCACAAATGTGCACACTCAAAGAGTTTTACTCGAATACTGTATGCAGATGCTACTAGCAGAACAATCAACAATGTTAAAGATGTTTCCCGTCACCATGGTGTATAACTTTAAACAGTTTCTTTGCGGGGTCACAAACCTTTTACAATTTCTTTGCTTGTCTTTCAACAAGGATCTTTGGAATACTGAATGGATCAGAAAAAGTATCTTCGATGTCCACCATCCTTACCTTCACAAAAGAAAATATGAATGGATGAAAAACATAACGATATAAGTGACACTTTATAAATTCAGAGAAGTCTGTGTATTTAAGAGAATATTACTTAAAATCGTGGTGATATGTATCATCACCCGTTTGAGAATTGGCCATTCCAAACTCACCCATCAGCAGTTACTAACTAAAGAAATTCAAAAAAGTGTGATCAATGTCAATCTTCTCTCAATATATATCACACATATTATTCTTCTATTCCATTTACAAATATATCCGTTAACAATATGCATTACTTCTCACTCTCACAGAAATTCTCAACAACAAACATCACGTATGAAACTAAAAATATTGTAAGCATCAATATTGTCTAAATGTTATGTCGTGTGCACGTAACAGCCAAACCAGAGAGTATACAGAGTATTTGCAGCCAAACTGTTATTTCTAAACAGTTAACGTTTCGTAACTGTTACAAGAAATTAACAGTTATGTCGTTTATCCTATTATTTGATGCTATCGGTTGAAATGCATAGCATTGCAATCTATTGGGCCAAGTCCGAACTACTACAAATTTTCGCGACAACCATTTTGTACATGAACAATTTCATTGTAGTTAATCAATCATGTGTTCAAGTGTTCAATTTCAATTCAATTCAATCATTATCAAGTGTTCAATTTATAGATTCATTAAATTATAATCCATCATTATTACACACTGTACGCCACAATATTTTTATATTTTAATTGTAAGCACAACAATAAGAAGTTTACCTTTAAAATAAATCCGTCCAATATGTTACTGAACGTTTTGCCCCATTTCTGCTTAGGTGAGATCCACTAATATTTCTCTAAGTCGGATAAAATAAAATGAGTTACGGTCAAATAACTTTCATTATAATATTTGATATTCAACAGTCATTAGTACTTTAGCTATAGGTAGGCAAAAACAGTTTCTCCTTTTTATTATTTTTGGCACTCGTCACTTCACTACGCTCAAGTTGCAAATTCGAAAGATTATTTACAATCTAAAACCGAATCAAAAATTACTGTTATTTTAGTAATATTCTATACATATTTGCTACTCATTATATCAATTATTGTTCTATCTTGGCCATTCGTTCAGGCTCGATCATATCAGCCTCTTTCTCTGTTCAAACATGTTTGGGGAAGTAGTGCAAACAAGCGCCATGAGGTAACTGCTCAAGCTTTTTGGTGCTACCAAAAGTTATTCGTTTTTCTTTGGTTTAACTCTTATCAGTCGCCACAACTGATTTAACTCTTAGTGGCTGGAAAATATGAACTATGTTAGGTTTCTGATAATGGACCTATTATTTTTAACAGGTATTAATAACCGTTCTTTCGAGGGACTGTAATTCCGATAATAGTTATTGAAGAAAAGCTGTTAAGCCCATCTCTATGTCAAATAATGTATTAGTGACGCACAATGTGTATTCAGATTATTGTGGTTTTCTTTATATTCTATTGCTGTTGAATGTGATCGTTAATGGTCATTATGTAATGTTACTCATATATTGACAAATTATGTTTTTATGTTTTATTTTTAAATGTAATTGTATGTTCTGTTGTACTTTGCATATATTTTTATTGTAGTCGCTAAAGACCTGGTAGTTCATGCAACCAATTAAATTAGGCATAAATATTTATTTTAAAAAGTCTCTCTTTACATAGAGCTACACCTGGTGGAAAGAGCGACAGAATTGTCAGTGCCACTGGCCGTGAAATCACAGTGAGCCGTTTCGGTATTCTCGTTTCTCACGTAGCGTTTATGTCCTCTACTGTAAGCATCTCCGACCAGGCTAAGGCCGAGGTTTTCTCGAGACTAGTTGGCCGATCAAAGCGGCAGTGGGTGGGTCGAAATTTCTCGTGGCCACGGATGAACGGGGAGAAGAGTTAGGCAGTGAGTTGAGTCCGATACGGTCGGATCCAACGACGATTTGATGCATCATTTTTTACTTTATACACTCTTTTTTAAAATAATGGTTTACTAACGTTTTCTCCATAAACAGCAAATACAATAATGACACGGTAGGCAAAACAAAACGGTTTAATATAACAACCGTTCGTACAGCAAAATTCTGTAAATATTGTAAAAGTCGGGAATCGAAGACTCTTGCCCTTTTGAGTAGTTCATTGTCTAATGTTCATTTTAATGCAATGGTTACAAAAGTTGGAGAGAGTGCGTATTGGGAAGAGTACTTTCTTGCTCGATAGATTTGCGCGTATCT